AGGGGGAGAGGGAGGGTCCTTTCCTGGATGTGGGGTGCAGGTCAACCGTTAAAACTAATCCCTAAAGAGATAGGATCGCTATAGGGGACGTTGGCAGAAGCAGTAAGAAGAGCAACTAATAATTAATTAAACAGGATAATTAATTAAGCCCATCCCTGCCCCAGTGCTGAGACCCAACACAACTCAGTGCATGAACCAGAGCTGACGAAACCCAAAGCTTTGGCTCCCCGAGCGGGTCCCGAATGGCCTCTCGATTCCTAGTGAACGCTTTGCCCCATTTAATACAGGGTATTGGGGGATTAGTAATCCCAAAAGCTCCCAAACGGGTTCGGTCTGTTTGCATCGCACAGCACGCGGGGATTTCCCGGCAGCACATGGGTGTTACGAAAAATCAGGGAGTTATTAAAAAAAAAAAAAAGAAAAAAAAAAGAAATAACTAAATGTTGGAGGACGCGGAGCAGATAGAGCAATAAATTCCCAGATTATCAGGCCATCAAACATTTTTTTTTGCTTCGCTTTATATTACACAAAGAAGTGACAGCAATGCTGCTGGAACAGGTAAAGCTGCTTTATTTTTAACTGAGTTGCGTTTTTATCGACTCGGAGGAGAGCTTTGTCCTGAAGCCAGGCGCTGTAATCTTGTTTTATTGCCGCCCGAGAAGGCCTTTTGTGATCTTGTGATAGGGGCAAATTATTTTCCCTGAGCTACCGCTTACAAAATACCTTGCTCTTTGCATTATTCGGGGCTTTTTGGGGGTTGGGTGGTTTTTTTTGTCTTTTGTTCTTGGCAAAACTCCCTGCTCGTCTACCTGGAGGGCGAAGTAATTGAGCTGCCAGCGGAAATAAATGGGCAGCGATTTCCCGGTCCCGTAACGAAGTGATGCTCCGGTCCCGGGCGGTGACGGAGGAGGGAGCGGGACTGATCCACGCAGCTGGTTGGGAACGCCGTGTCCCCGGCACCGAGCATCCCCCTCCCCATAGCGCACCCCAACGCCCCCCGGTACCGGATTTTCCCCCTGCCTGACCTCTCTCCCTTTGCCTGGCAGGAATTTCTTGCGACGGGTGATGTTTGCCGGCGGCTCCGACGGTCCTTATGCCAAAGCGATGAGGGGACAGATCACCCTGTCCCAGGTGAGCCCTCGGGTACCGGCCGTGGAGCGTCGCCGGCGACTCGGGTGGGACTCGACGAGGAGCCGGGGGGAGCAGGCTCCGGGACGGGCTGTGCTTTATTTTTGGGGGGGTGGATGGGATGACCGCGTGGGTGTTTTCCAGCTCTTTTCGGAGATGGAGGAGGGTTGCAGGCAGCACGCCTTCGCCTCGGGCATCGCCCTGCCGCCCAACTTCTCCATCGCGCGTGCCTTCGAGGAGATGGCGGCCAAGGGGATGGTCAATGCCCCCCTTCTGCGAGCAGCGAGGGTGCTGCGGAGGAACGGTGGGTGCTAGGGGGGCTTTTGGGCGAGGAGTGCTGGAGTGAGGGTGCTGCTCCCCTCCCGAGCAGGTGCCACGGGGTCCTGGTCAGTCCCACCACGGGATCATGGTTGGTCCCGTCACGGGGTCCCTCCTCAGTCCCTCATCATCATCAAAGCCCTTTTTCAGCATCTCAACATTGTGTTCAAAAGACGTGTGGACGTGGCACTTCGGGACAGGTTTAGTGGGCGTGGGGGTGTTGGGTTGATGGTTGGGCTTGATGATCTTAGAGGTCTTTTCCAACCTTAATGATTCTGTGATTCTGTGATCTCTAATTGGATATTCTGAGCCCTGCTCCCCAATACATCAGACAGGCTGTCACCCAGCCAGCAATTAGCAGGGTGCCGTAGCCCTTTGCCCCACA